AGTGCAATTCTCATTTGCGATTGGTAAATCTCGGATGAAATGTAAAGCACTCTAGCCGAACCTGTTTTTGATGAAGAACAACTTTAATATTTTTGTTTTCAATACGGACCACAAAGTTTAAGGATAATAATTTGTATCATTTTTTTAATATATTTTATGCATCTCTGGTATAATGTTTAATGAATTGTATAAGTGCATAGGTACATTATACAGGCTATAAAATAGGTATATAATTACTTGAAAATTTTTTGTGCTTATTTTTTTAAATAAGTGACGTCTCAGTGGACAAACTACTAGCTATGTATTTACAATTGTTAAATTTAGTTCAAGGACGATTTTCAACCATCTCGCGGCCCACTGGTTGGGAACCGCTGCACTAGATATTTTGTCACAGTAGCAAGATTACTTCAAAATTACCAGTTGTTTTATATGACTCGACAAATAAAGTGTGATTTGAATCGATATATGTATTTATAACTATTACACAAATGTTGGATTCATCTTAAAATGTTCGAATGGGAAACAAAATTTGACAGATCGAGAGTAAATCTAGATGGAATCTGGATTTATCAATCGTACACGTCATAAAGTTCAGTGTCTGACAGTCTATCCAATGAATGGGAGAGATCCGTTTATTACTTTCCAATTTTATGAAATTTTAGCGTAATTGAGGGTTTGTAAAAATTGGGCCAATTTTAAACCCATATTACCTTTTTCCACTGTTCGGAAAAATTTTATTTTTTCTGTTTTTTAAACCTTAAGGTGTAGTTATTAATGGTTAAATAGCATATGTAGTTTTTTTGTATCATGTGTTAATTTAGAATAAGAATTATTATTTGAAAGTATTCAATTGTTGGTATTCATATGTATCAGATTGATAGTTCAAAATATTGACACCTATAAATCACAAGTCAGAGTAATATTTAAAATAAATTTGTTTAAAGTATATATCTGTGAGTGTTCTTCTTTTAAAATTTTGAAAGAAAACTAAAATATTTTATACATAACCCCAAACCATTTCTTCTATTTAATAAATAGAAAGCACTACGAAGTCTACATCTGTTTACTACTCCAGCTTTAGTTTGTACTAAGATTATAACATAATTGAGTTTAATTCATGCTTATACTCGTAATGTATCTTATTTGCTTAGAGGTTAATGCCTTTAAGGATAAAGATGTAAAATTAACTACCAGATGATTTTATGCTCTGCCTAATTTTTTTTATTTCATGGTTTATTTTTCTTATTTTCTTATTTTGGTTAAGGAAAGTAAATATCAACTTAAAAGATTTTAACGATTTAATCGTTCATGTTTCTGCATCATTGGTTTGACGTTCTGCTTTCTTGAATTTCAATACATTTCGGAAGTGCTAAGCCGTCGTACCATCGTACATACGTACAGCTAGCCAAATTGGTGTCCACTAGGAGGAGTAGGGACATAATTTAAATGTTGCTCACAACGGCGGCTTGACTCAATTGCGAGGCACTAATTTGATTGTGCGTAAAATTGTGATGCTACATTTCAAGTGACACATTTTACCGACAAGATCTCGGTACATATGCCGAGATCCAAAAACAGATCCAGTCTACTTTGTTGTTGCAGTTGTGCACTTCGCTCGCTGCTTGAACATATGTATGTGTATTGTGTATATGTGGAATCCCTGTCCAGTTGGTGCAGTTAAATCATTATCAATTGGTTACATTTAATTTGTAGTTCTTCAAATTGAGTTGAACACATGCGATTACCAGAATAATTTCGCAAGATAAATAGTTTGTAAGTTACAGATATGAGTAGATATGTGTATGTTCTTTCTGCAGTTACACTGAAGAGTTTATTTAGTAAGTTGGTGGTACAATGTTGATATA